CTGTATTTATGGACAGAATATCTAGGCGCAGCCAGGGGTCGGAGGGGGTCCGGTTCGGGGACCACAGGATTTCATCTCTGCTGTTTGCGGACGATGTTGTCCTGTTGGCTCCAACGAACCAGGACCTGCAGCATGCACTGGGACGGTTTGCGGCCGAGTGTGAAGCGGCTGGGATGAGAATCAGCACCTCCAAATCTGAGGCCATGGTGCTCGACCGGAAAAAGGTGCCCTGCCCTCTTCAGGTGGGTGGAGAGGTCCTTCCTCAAGTGGAGGAGTTCAAGTATCTCGGGGTCTTGTTCACGAGTGAGGGAAGAATGGAGCGTGAGATTGACAGGCGGATCGGTGCAGCGTGCGCAGTGATGCGGTCGCTGTATCGGACCGTTGTGGTAAAGAGGGAGCTGAGCCGAAAGGCAAAGCTCTCGATTTACCGGTCAATCTTCGTTCCCTCCCTCACCTATGGTCATGAGCTTTGGGTAATGACCGAAAGAACGAGATCGCGGATACAAGCGGTCGAAATGAGCTTCCTCCGCAGAGTGGCTGGGCGCTCCCTTAGAGATAGGGTGAGGAGCTCAGTCACACGGGAGGAGCTCGGAGTAGAGCCGCTGCTTCTCCACGTCGAGAGGAACCAGTTGAGGTGGCTCGGGCATCTGTTCCGGATGCCTCCTGGACGCCTCCCTGGGGAGGTGTTCCGGGCACGTCCCACCGGGAGGAGGCCCCGCGGAAGACCAAGGACACGCTGGAGGGACTATGTCTCTCAGCTGGCCTGGGAACGCCTTGGGGTCCCCCCGGACGAGCTGGAGGAAGTGTGTGTGGATAGGGAAGTCTGGGCGTCTCTGCTTAGACTGCTGCCCCCGCGACCCGGCAACGGATAAAGCGGAAGAAAATGGATGGATGGATGGATGAATTTTAGCCACAGTGAACATGGTTTAAGAGTTTTTAGATCTGACAGTTCAATACAACATTTAAAATGAACAGTACAGGCTCGCCACAGTGCAACATTGGACTTAGTCAGACCATGAGACAAACAGTATTCTTCACAGACGCATCAACGCTCCATCTGCCGGAGACGTTCATACCAAATGGTTTTGGATATTTTTGGCCAGTATACTTTAATACGAGCGTAGGTGCATTATCATCTAATTATACACTTATTATGTAGGCAGAGCAAGGGCTGTGACACAGACGTCATCATGAATAAGAGCGATGTAACATGCCTGTGTCATTACAGAGACACACTTCCTCTGAAGTCCGCCTGCTGCTTTTGTGTCTGTGCTGTGTCCGCTATTGAGAAATCTGAACAGATCCACGGTCCACTGCTCTTCTGTCAAAGAGCTTCATTCTTCTGATTGTGCTGTGGCACAAATGACATATCAAGACCATGAAATTAGATTATTTCATTACATTACATGTACATCAACTGCAATGAATCTATGCATCCATTGTGTATTTACTGTTTTATTTAAGTAAATAGAACTGAATTAAAAGCATTACAAAAAAACATGTACACAATTTCAGTTACATAGTTAAAAATGATGGAAGACCAGGCCTCAGAAAGTTTGAGAACACGTGCCATATGGGTAATTGGTTTGAATGATTTCGATTAATCACCCTGGCCATTTGTTTTTAATTTTATAGTCAGTTAGTGGATTGTATTACCTCTGGCAAGAAAGTTTTTCATGGGGTTGTTTGTTAGTTAGCAAGTTAACTCCAAAAGTTACGGCCAGATTTAAATTACATTTTCACTATATCTCTGAAATTGGACCAGGAACACTTTTTTTTTAGGTGATCCTGACCCCTGTCTGGATCCAGGAATATTGGGAACGGCATCTCTTGACAGAGGTCTGTGCTCTACGAGGGCTTTTTTTAGCGGTTTCCTCAACCATTTGGTAGATCAACAGTCAATACATCCTCTTGAAGCTTGGAGCTTAAATCTACCTCTTTGGTGCATCTCACTTGGTCTTAGGCACTTGTTCCATCAAACTGCATCTCAATCAATTTTGTTGGCTAAAAAAACCAACAAAAAACCACGTAAAAACAAATGTGTTATTAGTGCTCCTACATCTTAGAAAATCCAAAAAAGACAAACATATGTTGCTTTCTTCAAGGAGTGAACGTTAAAGGGTTAAACATGAACCTATAACAACAAGTCCAGTCCAAGAGACCTGTTCTTGAATTGTCTCTATCTGGTAAAGGACACCAAGTGAACACAACATCCTGATTGAGTTTTTTGCAGCTTTTCACTATATATCAGGTAATTACTTTCTCAGGTACACTTAACAATTGCTGGAGTTGACTGCAGACAGGAGGCCTTCGCTGGCAGCAAGATAAAGCTGTGGCATTGGAATTACAAGGACAAAATACCTGGCATTAACAGCAGCCACATTGCTTTTGTGCCACGATTTAAGGTTGTTTCAAAATGGGGCCCGAGATTTTTGGCATCATGTCATAGAAAACTGGCAAAGAACTGCAGGAAACCAAGTCTGGACTGGGAGAAAAGAGACATGACGAGAACACAATCACACAAGAGTATACACTGGAATATAGCATCTATTGACTTGTGTTGTTGGATTTACTTTGGAGCGGATTATCAGATGGTTTAAAAACATGTTCAAATATGATTCAGTTCAAAACTACAAAAAAAAAGAACTACTGGAGAAGGACATGGATGAAAGAGTGTAATTTCCCAGCATTAATTGAGAGAACACAAATGGAGAGTGTTGTGGGTCTGTGTGCGTGTGCATGTGTGTGTGTGTGTGTGTGTGTGTGTGTGTGTGTGCGGGTGTGTGTGAGTGTGTGTGTGTGTGCGTGTGTGTGTGTGTGTGAGTGTGTTTGTGTTTGTATTATATGAGCCATATAAGCTTTTCCTTCATCCAACCCCTTTTCAAACTGTATTTTTCAAATCAAAGGTCTGTATCTGGTTTGTTTTGTCCCGCTTTATGAGAAATACAAGTTTTAAATTAACACTTACTTACTTAAAGTAGCATTATGTAAGATTTTCATGTCAAGTGATCATTAAAGGGCCCTAATCTGTCCAAAGGCATGAGTAAACCATGCTCTTTTTGTATACTTCTTTAACTGAAAACAGTAGTTCAGAGATATTTGGATTTCAAGATTAGTTTTTCAGCCCCTAAATCTTGTTATCGTTTTCATTTTGATGTCCCGCCCTCCACCGTTTCACCAATCAGAAAGTCTGTGATCCGGGTTGCCAGAACTCACTGGGTCGTTCTAATCCCACTGGTAAAGCAACATGTGGCTGCAGTACTAAAAAAAGGTCTCGTTACGATTCACAAATAATTGATGACAAAATAACGATTAAAACAAGGATTTCTATCTGTGTGAAAAAGGTGTTGGTTATAGTCTCTTTATTCAGATATTATGGTCCCAGCTGGATTGGTCTGCACATCTGGCAACCTGAGTCAGGGAGAGTGCAATACCACGTTTGGCCAGATTTTGACATACTGCTTTAATTACCTACTTTCTTCCCTGTGCCTGCCATAATTTATTTCAAGAAACTCCCACATGCCTTCAGTTTCAACAGCCCATCCATGATTTAATACTATATGGTCTGACGATCGGTGGTCGTTGCAGGCAAGCCCCGTGTTTGTGGAGGCCACCAGCTGACATCGCGGACATTCCAAGAGCCACGGTCGGAGTCACTTTCTCCCAGCGCTTTGGAAGACACGATAATGATCCTCTGAAGACATCTGCAGCCTGCGATGGGGACAGCAGCGCGCCTGTGGGACATTGTGTAGGCCAGCTGCTGCCAGTGTGAGGAGAGCATTAAATCTCTCCCATGGGGCGGACTACACATAACCCTCACTCCCCAGGACATCCAGTGTTTACTCCTCCACAGCTACAAGGCACATTTGCATTTATGCTTCCTTCAGACAGTGTAAAAAGTAAATTTCCTGCTATGATATGGCTAATGCATCCACTATAGCCATGACTCTGAATATGTAATGTGCTTTTGACAATTACTTTAGCAATCAACTGGTCAATCAACATCTTCAGTCAAGACAAACAATTATTTTAAATCAGAAATGCATTTTTTCCCAAAAAAATGTAGGCCTGTCCTGTTAGAGTTGCAGCCAGGGAAGTACTTAACACCTAATGTCACTTATCACTATGATCTCAATATAAAATGTGTATAATAAGTAATGTGACCAACACCATTTTTCTTTTTTATTTGTGCTAAATTGCCTGTACGACAGATTATGACAACAAAAACTCACTGAGAAACAAAGTATAAGTGAAGAACAGTGGTTTTGTATTGTAAAAAAAAAAAAAAACAAAATAAAATGTGAGCGATGATGCATATTCAATTTAATTTGATTTCACTACAGCCCTAAATCACAACAGAAGTAACATTCATGTCAGTTTGTGTCATCCCTCAATGATTAAGATCACAGCACAATTTATTGGTGGGGTATTTGCAATCCCCCAATTAATCCTTTACCCCTATAAAAATACATCATGTTGTTTCACAAGCCTGTTGGCCATAATTCATTCACTCCCCTCACGGAAACATTGACGGAAACATTGAATAAATTATATGAGATCTTGTTTTCCACTCTGGCAGTTACGTCTTAATAAGTGCCATTTGAGGTAGAAGAAAAAAATGATGTCGAAAGAAAATGATTTAACATCACATCAGCTGTCTATTTCTGCACGTCTATTTACGTTAACATGGGCAAATATGGAACACGCACTGAAAGCAGCAGGCCAAGGGAAAGAGCATGGCACCACACATTTTTGGCTTATATTCCCCAGGCGATATCGCTAAAGTCTCTGGGGCCGCCGGAGATCCAGTGTGCGATTATAGCCGCGTTCTGCTGCCTCCTCTAGATCTGCGTGGCGAGATACCCGAAAGGTTGGAATGAGGAGAGGAACGAAGGACGGAAAGAAAGAGGGGGGGAGGCATACTCGGAGCCAGATGACAGAGATAATAACCAGGATGAAGATGATACGGATGAGAAGGAGATGTCAAGCAGAGGGCTGACATGCGGCTCACGTACGATCCCACACATTCGTCTGCATGTCTGAGTAAGCATGACCGGGCTTAAGGCCACAGCTCGGCACGCCACTTTTAGCCGTTGTAACTTCATGGCGAGAAGGCAACTGGAGAATGCACGTTTGGTTAGCGAGAGAGATACTAATAATAATAATGCATCGGTTTTATATAGCGCTTTTTTTGACACTCAAAGAAGCTTCACATGTCATTATTCTTTCACTCCATACACGGTGGTGATAAACTACTATTGTAGCCACAGCTGCCTTGGGGCACACTGACAGAAGCGAGGCAACCAGTATGCGGCATCTGCCCCTCCGACCACCACCAACCATTCACACACACACCAGACTCATTCTAGGCAATGGGGGTGAAGTGTCTGGCACTTTAGAGCCGCAGCCGCCCCACATGTGGCACCTGCTGTTCCCAGAGGTCTTCCATCACAGTACTAACTAGGTCCTCCCTTGCTTAGCTTTAGAGGTCTGACGGGATTTGACTTTCACATGCAGGTAGGGCCACAATGATGGTTTGTGCAACATCATATTATTCAGCAATTCAGTTTTCATCAGGGTTTGTTACTCAGGTAAAAGCTTGGAAATGAGACAAGGAGCAGATGGATGGATTTTGGATGTGTGGATGTGTAGTTGTGAGTACTTGATAATATATGCGGTTTGGGGTGGGTCTGATGGTGTCATGGTGTGGGTTTTATTTTTATATTTTAGTTTTATTTTGACATTGTTCTCTGTGGTTTGGTTTTAGTTGTACTTCCTGTCCTGTTTGCCCCTGTGTTGATTGTCTGCCCCGCCCTGATGTGTTTCACCTGTGTCTGTGTCTATATGTACCCTGTGCTGCTCTCCGCTTGTGGGTGGTCCATTGTATTGTCTGTTCATGTCCTTGTCCGGTCCGTTCTGTTTTGTTCCGTTCCTGGTTCCCTGTGATTTTGGATTTTTGAGTATGTTTTCATCTACCCTTTTGTTTTTTCATCATTAAATTATTTTTATTTTGGCATTTCCTGCATTTTGAGTCCTTCATTCGCCTCCCCCCATGACAGATGGTTGGTCGGGTTTACGGGACATGAGAATATGGGATTGCTTTGAACCAGAATGTGAAGCACTTTGTGTTGCATTTATTTGTATGAAAAGCATTTTAAAAGAAAACATTGATATTGCACACATTTAAAATTATTACAAAATAATGTTGATTTTTTTTTTTTTATGAAATACTTTGCACATGTTTTAAGAAAGTGTAATTGTAATCAAAACTTTAAAAAATGTAATTATTGGATCTAAATTGTTTAGAACTGGTGGTTCCAGCCCAACAGTTTAAAACGGAGGTGGAGGAATGTGTCAAGTGAAATAGTTCATGTCTCAATATCTGTAACGACTGGACCATGAAACAAAAACATACTGTTTACGACACTGATTGGCCGGAAGCTTCCAGAACTGTTTAGGTTTCAGCATTTTACGTTTTTGAAGTGAATGTCACTTCAGTGAGCGCCTACAACTAAACACCATGACATCTGCAGTGACACCAGTATTTTATCTCATGAGAGACACAAAACATCAGGTCGAGAAGGAGGCAGAGCTGAAGGCTGATCTGTTTCAGACCACTGCTTAAATTTAATTATAAAGATTCTTTATGCGTCTCAGTGGGGACATTCCAGTGTTGCATCACAATTAACAAAACAGTAAGAATGAGAAGCACACACCACAAGAAACATGAATATTGAATAAAGCACAACTCTATACTCGAACATATATATAGATATAATCAAATCTCTATCTAACCTGTACTTTAGTGCAAAGAAACAGCAGATGTATGGATATACCTGTATCTATTTACTAACATCTGTTGATAAATCTGAAATGCACTCGGATGCAAGAATATCAAAGTAATCAATATCTCTCTGGGTTCAAACATCCACAGTGATGAAACTACTTTACAAGTTAACAGCATCTAGCTCTAGGCTAAAGGTAACTAGGTAAAGTGACAGACTGTATTTGTATAGTAAGTAAGTAAGTAAGTTTTTATTTATATACCGCCTTTTCACTGCAGATCTGAGTCTCAAAGCGGTTTACAATTGTTAATTTTGGGCATTTGTCTCTCACTCCACACAGAGATGGGAGTGGGGCCAGTACAGGAAGCGCATGCCAGAACTATTGGACATATTTTTAGTGGTAGGGGAAACCGGAGTACCCGGAGGAAACCTACGCAGACACGGGGAGAACATGCAAACTCCACTCAGAAAGGCCCTGGTCCGACCGGGATTCGAACCCAGGACCTTCTTGCTGAGAGGCGAGAGTGCTATCCACTCAGCCACCGTGCCGCCACACGAGAGCCAAACTCACAGGAGAACTCAAAGTGCTCTACACATCAAGAAAGGAAACATTAAAATGATGAAACGTGTGTATATAATCACAGTACATTCCTTTTAACAAAACATTTTAAAATCTCAAATACTCAACCAATCCAGAACAGGATGAAACAATACAGAACATGACAACAACATTTACCGCTGCATTACCTTCTACTACCAGGACAGCACCAGGACAGCACCAGGACAGACACCAGGACAGACACCAGGACAGCACCAGGACAGACACCAGGACAGCACCAGGACAGACACCAGGACAGCACCAGGACAGACACCAGGACAGCGCCAGGACAGCACCAGGACAGACACCAGGACAGCACCAGGACAGACACCAGGACAGACACCAGGACAGCACCAGGACAGCACCAGGACAGCACCAGGACAGACACCAGGACAGCACCAGGACAGACACCAGGACAGACACCAGGACAGCACCAGGACAGACACCAGGACAGCACCAGGACAGACACCAGGACAGCACCAGGACAGACACCAGGACAGCACCAGGACAGACACCAGGACAGACACCAGGACAGACACCAGGACAGCACCAGGACAGACACCAGGACAGCACCAGGACACCACCAGGACAGACACCAGGACACCACCAGGACAGACACCAGGACAGCATCAGGACAGACACCAGGACAGCACCAGGACAGACACCAGGACAGCACCAGGACAGACACCAGGACAGCACCAGGACAGACACCAGGACAGCACCAGGACAGACACCAGGACAGACACCAGGACAGCACCAGGACAGACACCAGGACAGCACCAGGAGAGACACCAGGACAGCACCAGGACACCACCAGGACAGACACCAGGACAGCATCAGGACAGACACCAGGACAGCACCAGGACAGACACCAGGACAGCACCAGGACAGCACCAGGACAGCACCAGGACAGACACCAGGACAGACACCAGGACAGCACCAGGACAGACACCAGGACAGACACCAGGACAGACACCAGGACAGCACCAGGACAGCACCAGGACAGACACCAGGACAGCACCAGGACAGACACCAGGACAGACACCAGGACAGACACCAGGACAGACACCAGGACAGCACCAGGACAGACACCAGGACAGCACCAGGACAGACACCAGGACAGCACCAGGACAGACACCAGGACAGCACCAGGACAGACACCAGGACAGCACCAGGACAGACACCAGGACAGACACCAGGACAGCACCAGGACAGACACCAGGACAGACCCAGGACAGCACCAGGACACACCAGGACAGACACCAGGACAGCACCAGGACAGCACCAGGACACACCAGGACAGCACCAGGACAGCACCAGGACAGACACCAGGACAGCACCAGGACACCAGGACAGACACCAGGACAGCACCAGGACAGACCACAGGACAGCACCAGGACAGACACCAGGACAGACACCAGGACAGAACCAGGACAGCACCAGGACAGCACCAGGACAGCACCAGGACAGACACCAGGACAGCACCAGGACAGACACCAGGACAGCACCAGGACAGACACCAGGACAGCACCAGGACAGACACCAGGACAGCACCAGGACAGACACCAGGACAGACACCAGGACAGACACCAGGACAGCACCAGGACAGACCAGGACCAGGACAGCACCAGGACAGACACCAGGACAGCACCAGGACAGACACCAGGACAGCACCAGGACAGCACCAGGACAGCACCAGGACAGCACCAGGACAGCACCAGGACAGCACCAGGACAGCACCAGGACAGACACCAGGACAGACACCAGGACAGCACCAGGACAGACACCAGGACAGACACCAGGACAGACACCAGGACAGACACCAGGACAGCACCAGGACAGCACCAGGACAGCACCAGGACAGCACCAGGACCCCAGGACAGACACCAGGACACCACCAGGACAGACACCAGGGCAGCACCAGGACACACCACCAGGACAGACACCAGGACAGCACAGGACAGACACCAGGACAGCACCAGGACAGACACCAGGACAGCACCAGGACAGACACCAGGACAGCACCAGGACAGCACCAGGACAGACACCAGGACAGACACCAGGACAGCACCAGGACAGCACCAGGAAGACCACCAGACCAGGACAGCACCAGGACACCAGGACAGACACCAGGACAGCACCAGGACAGACACCAGGACAGCACCAGGACAGCACCAGGACAGCACGGACACACCAGGACAGACACCAGGACAGCACCAGGACAGACACCAGGACAGCACCAGGACAGCACCAGGACAGACACCAGGACAGCACCAGGACAGACACCAGGACAGACACCAGGACAGACACCAGGACAGACACCAGGACAGCACCAGGACAGCACCAGGACAGGACACCAGGACAGCACCAGGACAGCACCAGGCAGCACCAGGACAGACACCAGGACAGCACAGGACACCACCAGGACAGCACCAGGACAGCACCAGGACAGACACCAGGACAGCACCAGGACAGACACCAGGACAGCACCAGGACAGACACCAGGACAGCACCAGGACAGACACCAGGACAGCACCAGGACAGACACCAGGACAGGACACCAGGACAGCACCAGGAGAGACACCAGGACAGCACCAGGACACCACCAGGACAGACACCAGGACAGCACCAGGACAGACACCAGGACAGCACCAGGACAGCACCAGGACACCACCAGGACAGCACCAGGACAGACCACCAGGACAGACACCAGGACAGCACCAGGACAGACACCAGGACAGCACCAGGACAGACACCAGGACAGACACCAGGACAGACACCAGGACAGCACCAGGACAGACACCAGGACAGCACCAGGACAGACACCAGGACAGCACCAGGACAGACACCAGGACAGCACCAGGACAGACACCAGGACAGCACCAGGACAGCACCAGGACAGCACCAGGACAGACACCAGGACAGCACCAGGACAGACACCAGGACAGCACCAGGACAGACACCAGGACAGCACCAGGACAGACACCAGGACAGCACCAGGACACACCAGGACAGACACCAGGACAGCACCAGGACAGGGACAGACACCAGGACAGCACCAGGACAGACACCAGGACAGACCAGGACAGACACCAGGACAGCACCAGGACAGGACACCAGGACAGACACCAGGACAGACACCAGGACAGACACCAGGACAGACACCAGGACAGCACCAGGACAGACACCAGGACAGCACCAGGACAGACACCAGGACAGCACCAGGACAGACACCAGGACAGCACCAGGACAGACACCAGGACAGACACCAGGACAGACACCAGGACAGCACCAGGACAGACACCAGGACAGCACCAGGACAGACACCAGGACAGCACCAGGACAGACACCAGGACAGACACCAGGACAGACACCAGGACAGCACCAGGACAGACACCAGGACAGCACCAGGACAGCACCAGGACAGACACCAGGACAGCACCAGGACAGACACCAGGACAGCACCAGGACAGACACCAGGACAGACACCAGGACACACCAGGACAGACACCAGGACAGCACCAGGACAGACACCAGGACAGCACCAGGACAGACACCAGGACAGCACCAGGACAGCACCAGGACAGACACCAGGACAGCACCAGGACAGACCAGGACAGACACCAGGACAGCACCAGGACAGCACCAGGACAGCACCAGGACAGCACCAGGACAGACACCAGGACAGCACCAGGACAGACACCAGGACAGCACCAGGACACACCAGGACAGACACCAGGACAGCACCAGGACAGACACCAGGACAGCACCAGGACAGACACCAGGACAGACACCAGGACAGACACCAGGACAGCACCAGGACAGCACCAGGACAGCACCAGGACAGCACCAGGACAGACACCAGGACAGACACCAGGACAGCACCAGGACAGCACCAGGACAGACACAGGACAGCACCAGGACAGACACCAGGACAGACACCAGGACAGACACCAGGACAGCACCAGGACAGCACCAGGACAGCACCAGGACAGACACCAGGACAGCACCAGGACAGACACCAGGACAGACACCAGGACAGCACCAGGACAGACACCAGGACAGCACCAGGACAGCACCAGGACAGACACCAGGACAGCACCAGGACAGACACCAGGACAGCACCAGGACAGCACCAGGACAGACACCAGGACAGCACCAGGACAGCACCAGGACAGACACCAGGACAGCACCAGGACAGACACCAGGACAGCACCAGGACAGACACCAGGACAGCACCAGGACAGACACCAGGACAGACACCAGGACAGACACCAGGACAGCACCAGGACAGACACCAGGACAGCACCAGGACAGCACCAGGACACACCAGGACAGACACCAGGACAGCACCAGGACAGACACCAGGACAGCACCAGGACACACCAGGACAGACACCAGGACAGCACCAGGACAGACACCAGGACAGCACCAGGACAGACACCAGGACAGCACCAGGACAGACACCAGGACAGCACCAGGACAGACACAGGACAGCACCAGGACAGCACAGGACAGCACCAGGACAGCACCAGGACAGACACCAGGACAGACACCAGGACAGCACCAGGACAGCACCAGGACAGACACCAGGACAGCACCAGGACAGCACCAGGACAGACACCAGGACAGCACCAGGACAGACACCAGGACAGCACCAGGACAGCACCAGGACAGACACCAGGACAGCACCAGGACACCACCAGGACAGACACCAGGACAGCACCAGGACAGACACCAGGACAGCACCAGGACAGACACCAGGACAGCACCAGGACAGACACCAGGACAGACACCAGGACAGACACCAGGACAGACACCAGGACAGCACCAGACACCCAGGACAGACACCAGGACAGCACCAGGACAGACACCAGGACAGCATCAGGACAGACACCAGGACAGCACACAGGACAGACACCAGGACAGACACCAGGACACCACCAGGACAGACACCAGGACAGCACCAGGACAGACACCAGGACAGCACCAGGACAGACACCAGGACAGCACCAGGACAGACACCAGGACAGACACCAGGACAGCACCAGGACAGACACCAGGACACACAGACAGCACCAGGACAGCACCAGGACAGACACCAGGACAGCACCAGGACAGACACCAGGACAGCACCAGGACAGACACCAGGACAGCACCAGGAAGACACCAGGACAGCACCAGGACAGACACCAGGACAGCACCAGGACAGACACCAGGACAGCACCAGGACAGCACCAGGACAGACACCAGGACACCACCAGGACAGACACCAGGACAGCACCAGGACAGACACCAGGACAGCACCAGGACACCACCAGGACAGACACCAGGACACCAGGACAGCACCAGGACAGCACCAGGACAGACACCAGGACACACCAGGACAGACACCAGGACAGCACCAGGACAGCACCAGGACAGCACCAGGACAGCACCAGGACAGACACCAGGACAGACACCAGGACAGCACCAGGACAGCACCAGGACAGCCCAGGACAGACACCAGGACACACACCAGGACAGCACCAGGACAGACACCAGGACAGCACCAGGACAGACACCAGGACAAACACCAGGACAGACACCAGGACAGACACCAGGACAGACACCAGGACAGACACCAGGACAGACACCAGGACAGACACCAGGACAGACACCAGGACAGACACCAGGACAGACACCAGGACAGACACCAGGACAGCACCAGGACAGACACCAGGACAGCACCAGGACACCACCAGGACAGACACCAGGACAGACACCAGGACAGCACCAGGACAGCACCAGGACACCACCAGGACAGACACCAGGACAGACACCAGGACAGCACCAGGACACAGGACAGCACCAGGACAGCGCCAGGACAGACACCAGGACAGACACCAGGACAGCACCAGGACAGACACCAGGACAGCACCAGGACAGCACCAGGACAGACACCAGGACAGCACCAGGACAGACACCAGGACACCACCAGGACAGACACCAGGACAGACACCAGGACACCACCAGGACAGCACCAGGAAACCACCAGGACAGCACCAGGAGACCACCAGGACAGACACCAGGATGGAGTTAGCGTGCTGATCCGCCATTGATCCGTTGGAGCTAATAAAAAAAATATTCTCTTCTCTGAAATCAGTTCCTTTGTGTTCCGCTTTAATCCCACAGTTTCCTTCTGGGTCATTTGTGTGGTTATTTGCAATACGATGACTCATTGAGGTGATTCATTTCCTTGCATTTCTGTGATTGATGTTAGTGCGAATATGTGATCTGCCTGTAGGTGGTCGTAGTGCATCTATTTAAAACTTTAACAGCCATTCCAAAGCAATTATCTGCCATCCAGCTACAACATAAGAACCATGCCCATCTTCAGTGCAGACAATGGCTGCCCATTAGAATGTAATGTAAACACATCAGACAAGAGCTTAACCAAACCCTACATGGCTCCCCAGAGTGGCAGCTGGCCCATTCTCATACATTACTTTCGCAGCTCTGCCTGGATTTCTTAATGAATACTCAAGTGTGGGTTACATAAGCGAATCGTTGGCTGCTTTTTGACTTTGCTTCGCCTTCGTTTGCTGTCATACAAGAGCTCATCTGTGTAGAGGAAGAATCAATCTCCCTCAGAGAAGCGACACCACAGATAATTTGAAGACCAAAGGGGATGGAATCTATGTTCGGCTTTAAGTATTCTGTTCAAGCTGAACAATGTTTTGCTTTACCTGCACCTGTGAACTGGTCGCACCCGCCCCCTTGTTCCCTCCTGGATCAACTGAGTCCTGGATCTACAGTCTCAGTCCTGGATCTACAGTCTCAGTCCTGGATCTACAGTCTCAGTCCTGGATCTACAGTCTCAGTCCTGGATCTACAGCTTCAGCCCTGGATCTATAGCCTCAGTCCTGGATCTACAGTCTCAGTCCTGGATCTATAGCCTCAGTCCTGGATCTACAGTCTCAGTCCTGGATCTATAGCCTCAGTCCTGGATCTACAGTCTCAGTCCTGGATCTACAGTCTCAGTCCTGGATCTACAGCTTCAGCCCTGGATCTATAGCCTCAGTCCTGGATCTAGCTTGGAGCTTCAAGGAGAAAAGACCAAATGAGCCTCAATCTTCTCCAGCAATCAACCCCTACCCGACCAGTCTCCTGTTGAATTGACAGCTATCCTCGTGGTGATCCTTGTGAGCCTGTGTGGTTTTGGTTAAAAATGGACTATCGTTACTTGCCTTAGCCTGCGTTGAAAAACAAAGACTTAGTGAGTCCTGCCTGCGCTGCAACACTGACATGAAGATGACTGGTTTCAGTGACAAACCCACCCACCTGATCTTCACACTTTGCACAGCGGTCTCTTCTATTACTGGGGAACAGCGCTGGCCTAAACTTGCATTACATTGCTTAGATTGATTTTATAGTGATGAATGATGACTCACAGAGGTGATTACTTACTTTTATGCTCAGGGTGATTCATAGGCGGAAAAAATATTTTTGCACCTGGTGATAATTTAATTTCTTTCTATTGGGAGACATCAAATAAATTATGTCTTTTTGTCTATGGGAAACTGCCACAACACAATTTATGGGGAGAGAGGTAGAAAAAAAAGAAATGGTAGAAATGGTTTGAATAGAAATGTTTTTACACAATGTTTGGAAGTTTTGACAAATGGAGCGACTATAACCGGTTGTAACCAGTCAACTTTAAGACCCAGCTATGAACCTTTGATTGTTTTAATCTTTTTGTTTCAAATCCAAAATGCTGCTTTCCCATTGGTTCAAAACCTTCGCCTGAGACAAAGCATTTGCACCCATCATTCTGACTTTATACCAAACAAGAAAGATGAAAACCATCACACCACTCTACTCTGTGGTATAGTAGTTTGGTTTGGTACAAGATCTCTCTGTGACGAGGGGAATAGAGAGCCTTCTGACTGAACGGAACACTGGGCTTTTATGTTATATTGTTTTGTATTCATTTGGTTTTACTTCACAGCCAATCCAACAGCCAGTGAAGCTTTTTGGGCTGACACACTTTACACCAGTACAAAATGAAACTCTCCAAATGATAATTACAAGTCTGAGTTCTTCTACATGTAGCCTGGATGTATTACCTCCTAGATTTCTTAAATCTGTTCTGAGCAGTCTTTTACCTTCACTCACGCATATAGTAAATATGTCTCTTGAATCTGGAACATTCCCAATGGCCCTGAAAACGGCAGTCATCAGACCCCTCCTAAAAAAGAGGAGTCTGGATGCCTTGGCACTTAAAAATTATCGGCCCATTTCAAATCTGCCTTTCATGGGTAAAATTCTAGAAAAAGTTGTCTATCAACAACTTACAGAATTTTTAATAATCAATCACTCTTTTGATATGTTCCAGTCTGGTTTTAGACCCCACCACAGCACAGAGACCGCTCTAGTGAAGGTAACAAATGACATCAGACTTAACACTGACGCAGGAAAAGTCTCAGTTCTTATCCTGTTAGATTTAAGTGCTGCTTTCGACACTGTCGATCATGGTATCCTCATTCAGAGACTTGAGGACTGGGTTGGTGTTTCTGGAACAGCCCTAAGCTGGTTTATATCCTACCTACAGGACAGAAAGTATTTTGTGGAGATCGGAAACTGTATCTCAGACCATCTGGCCCTAACCTGCGGAGTGCCACAGGGATCAATCCTGGGGCCTCTCCTGTTTAATATTTACATGCTGCCTCTGGGTAGGTTAATACACAGTAATAACGTGTCCTATCACAATTATGCTGACGATACTCAGGTCTATGTGTCCCTGACAGCAGGAGAACATGGACCAATGGACTCGCTCCTTCACTGTATCCAACAAATCAGTGATTGGATGCAAAATAACTTTCTCCAGCTAAACACAGAAAAAACTGAAATTATTGTTTTCGGACCTCAAAAACAAAGAGAGAGCGTTATCTGCCACCTCCAGTCTCTCTCCCTAAAACCCTCAACTCAGGTCAGAAATCTAGGAGTAATAATGGACTCAGACTTAAATTTCAATAGCCACATATCATCTGTGACATCATCAGCTTACTTCCACCTAAGAAACATTGCTAAAATTAGGAACATTGTGTCTAAAGCAGACTTGGAGATTCTTATCCACGCATTTGTCTCCAGTCGATTGGACTACTGCAATGGCTTGTTCACAGGTCTCTCTAAACAAGCGGTAAAACAGCTGCAGTACATCCAAAATGCTGCAGCTCGAGTCCTGACTAGAACCAGGAAGTACGACCACATTAGTCCGGTCCTCAGGTCTCTGCACTGGCTTCCTGTGGCTCAGAGAATAGATTTTAAAGTAGCTTTACTTGTGTACAAGTCTCTCCATGGCCTCGCACCAGGGTACATCCGCGACATGTTGGTGCCATATGAACCAACTCGGGCTCTGAGGAGCACAGGGACTGGACTTCTGTTAGTGCCAAGAGTCGGAACTAGACATGGGGAGGCTGCGTTTCAGATTCATGCAGCTAGAGTCTGGAACCGTCTTCCTGAGAGTGTGAGACAGGCGTCTACTCTAGCAGTTTTTAAAACTGAACTGAAAACAGTTCTTTTTAGCTGTGCATACAAGTGAATGATTTTTATATTTGTTTTTATCTTTAATCTTTTTAATGCGCTATGATTATTTATGATTATTTATGATTGTAATCCCTTGTGTGATTTTAATGTTTTACGGTTTTTAACTACTTGTGTGATTTTATATATCTTGTGCTCTTAATCTGTCTTTTTATGTTTACTTAAATTCTAATGTTTGATGATTTATGCATGATGTTATATGGGTTGTGAGGCGCTTTGCGTTGCCTTGTGTAGGAAAGGCGCTCTATAAATAAACGTTGATTGATTGATTGATACTTCTGTTTAATAGTAGTACTACATGTTTCTTTTACACAGGGCTCCTGTGCTTTTGCAGAACCTACGTTTACCCTCCCTCTGACCCTTGTCATTGGCCCAATTCATGTGCAAATTAAATTTACATTTAATACACAGCAGTCACGGGATTCTTTCGTGTACCTAGTTACTCACACAATGGGCTTGTGTCCTTGTATGTGATAGCGCAGCGTGTAAAACCGTAGCTGGCAGCTCTTTAGAAGCCCCGCTCTGGCATTAGAGTAGACGCTACACCTTTGTGCGCCTGCCCATCTCTTCGTTTGCCTGTCCTTTTACTCCATCAGTGAGTCCTGTTTTGCATTTATGAAAAACAAACTCGACTAAAGAACATCTGCTTCGCTGAATGCTATTATGCCATGTTTGTGTATCTACCATCACAGTCTCTAAATGCAGATTGTGCTGTACGCTTATGTTCACATCGTTATGTGGCACTTCGGCACAACACCGGAGGTGAAAGCCATATACTCCAAATCTGTGCAATTAGTTTCTTGCCTGAAGGGACAGTTATGAGATTTGAGGTACTTTTCCTGACATTTTATTAACATAAAGTAAGTCATAGCTTTAGTGCATAATGTAGATTTTAAGATTTTAGCATTGCACTTTAATGACAGCTCAGTTACCTAACCTTTTGTTTAATAATACATTATGTTACATACATTAAGAATCTTGTAAAATTAAAGTTTTGGAAACAAGTCAGACTAATCAAGTTGATCTAAAGAGATTTAACTGAGGTAGAAAATCCTGTGATGAAACCAACTGTACTGTACAGGATGGGTTAGGTTAGGTACCCCAGATTTAAGTATTCTCAATTTAATTTGCATATTTTGGATAAAACATGATGAGACTTGACTTCATAAGTCAGTAAGTTCAGAGAGTTCACCCCCGGCTTGTTACCTCTCCTTGTCCACTTTAAACTATCTCCACCAACCAAGCGGTGACATCCCTAGGCCAAGATGCGTGCCAAATATGCAGTAATACAAACCTCTATTCAAAAATAATGCATGTTTTGTTTTTTAGCAGTGTCCAGTGTCTAGAACAGATTCTAGATGGACAGGTTTACCAGTGTTTACTAAACAAAGCAGGTAAATAATATGAATAATATCTCCGTGGAGACAGGAGGATGACCAGCCCCCACCTGCCCCCATCCCTGTAGCAGTTACAGGCCTGTGCGAGCTCTGTGTGACAGAAGGGTCTATGTCCTGGT